TTGATTGCGCAGAGAGAATTGCTTCATCGCTGGGACAGGGAGTCTTGGGTGTTGAGCCATTTGTGTCGAGAGAGAAGGTGTGCGGGGCGGAGTTCTGGCCATTCGAGGCCGGTTGAGTGGGTTGGGAGGATGTTCCCGCGTCGCCATTCCGTAATGTTTGGAGCCCTTGCTCCAGACTTGTGAGTCGCTGAAGCAGTTGTGCGAGGACGGCGGAGGGAATCGTCGTCGTTTCCTCGCTTGTCGCAGCCGGGTTGGGCTGCGCTTCAGGCGTCAGATTCGTCTGACCTCCAGATCCTCCGGCCATTCTCACACGTGAGCGTGTGCCGGACGCCACTTTCTGTTCGCCGAAACTTTCGGAGGTGGCAGTGTGAAGGATTCCAGAGTCGCTCTCATACCATGGTGCGATCAGAAATTGACCGTACCTAGGATCGTCTCAGGAAGGTTCACACACGTCTGAATAGTGGTGGTGGGCCCGTGACCTCAATAGCAAAGTGAATATAAAATGCTTGAGATGATTAAAACATACAAGTACAAGGAATATAAATAAGAGTACAGGGGAATTCGAATCGACCTAGCTAGCCATGTACTCTAAGGGGTACATTCCCTTATTACAGCGAAATCCAACCGTGCGACTTTGGGTGGTTACGAAACCGTTCGGGCAGAATCCTCGCCACTTCTGCTGCCTGATGCTGTCTGCCCGACGGTCCAGATGCTTTCGTAACCGTGCGACCTTTCGTGTTGCTTCCGCCCTTTCGACTTCAGCCTCGGTATTGCGTGCTTCGCTTGCTGCGGTGAGGAGTGCACAGTGGTGTTTCAATACTCACTATTCGTAACACCCAAAAGGAACCTGGATGCATTTTCGGATGAATCAACCCTAAACACAACTCGCCAGGTGTTTAGGGTTGATCCGTTCCCAAACCGCATCCGATTCCAATTGGGTTTTGGTTCTTTTAGAAGTTAGCTAATTGGTTGGGCGCGAGCGGGAATATTGTGGAGTTTCATTAACTTTTGGCGGGAGTTACATGAGTGACCATTCGCGTGATTTTTTACCTGCTGTTAGTGACTGAATCCGTGACCCCACTTACCAAACCACTCAGGAAACCCGATACAGTGACCGTACACGTTACTTTTTTATCATACACGTTACAGAGTCCCATGTTGGTAACTAGTGGCATATTTTCCCTTCTTTATAAGTGGTGGTCAAGAGTTTGAACGGGTATCCACGCCAATACTGTATTTTGCAAAATGAGAAACGGTTTACAGCAGCGAATCCAGCAAACCGCTCCGAAGTGCAGAGCATCATACTCAACCGCTTTTCCCACGCTTAAATTATACCAGCACTCCAAGCCCACACCAACTACGCCAAAACAGTTATTTCTTCCCCCTTCGTCCTCTTGGAAAAGTCTACCGTTGTCCTACGGACTATGTTGTCCTTTGAGGTGTGTACAAAGCGTGCTTGTCCGCATTTCACTCTGGCCCTTCTGTCAACCTACGCCACAAGGGCGGGATCTCTTTGGCCTTTTGCCCACTCAACGAGTCGCAGGCTATGGCTTGATTCGACAGCTTGGGTTTGGGTATCACCCAACTGCGCTGCATATCTGTCAGGTCAGGTCGTGTCGGTGATATTTTCTGTTCGTTCTGTACACTACCTTCAACCAGAGCCTACCGTAGTACTCCCGCTAAGCATCAGTGGGCAAGGTGTTGTTCTAGTGTCCCACCGAGCCTGCACCGACCTGTTTGTGGAGCTGCCACGGTGGTGCTTTGCAGGGGGTACGTACGTACCTCATTTTGCAACATGATATTCTTCTGTTTTTCACCTGCTCATTCTTCTGTTCAGTGCCCCCGCTACCCAGTGGCCCTGCTCGCCTTCCATTGATCGTTCGTTCGGATCAGAGTGGTCCTTCTCAGTTAACTTATCTCATGTCCGTTCTGTTGCTAGGACTGTAACTACAGTGTACATCACTTGATTGCTCAAATCAGGTCTGGAGCTTCTTCTGTGTTGGTTTGTGAAATTTGAGGGGACCATCCAAATCCTGAATGGTAGTGCGGCTCGGAACAGCATGTCCTTTCTCCCCTTGCTCTCTTGGGTTGGGTTGGGACCTCCGACGAGTCGGTCTAGTTCGGCCTGTTCACCTTGGTCCCAAAATCGAATCGCCTTTCTTCGTCACACACAGGCGTCGTGTGCTTGCTTGCATTGCAATTTGCAAAACGTCGCCGTAATATCGCCCGCATCGCGTCCGCCCGATGGTTGTGACGATTTAGGATAAAAGCATAGCCTCAAAGTCGCAAAACACATTCGCTCTCAGATTCCCGAGCCTCTATCCATTAGAGCCATATTATTTGTATCTCCGACCGATTTCTTGGCACCACGCTCAAGCAGTCAGCTCCGTGAGGGTGTGTGTGCTCCTAACGAGCATCTGTCATCTCTCTCGCCTCAACGTACCTTCTGCAAAAACTTCAAGCTTTTCCCTCAGAAAGTCATTTCGATTCGGAATCCCACAAAAACGTCGTTGGTATTCCTCTACTGCTTCCGGCTTTCGAAAAGCTTGATTTCTCGCGATTATCATCATCATCATTATCATCATGGAGCTGAATGCGATGATGCCCATCATCTGCGGATCCATCTTCCTCTTCTCCACGCTCGTGTCGTGCGTCGGCACGATGATCAGCGCGGGAGTGTTCGAGGAGTGCTCGCTTCCGACGGTCAGCCTGGGCCCCGTCGCGAAGCACTTCAACCCCGCGCGGCTGAGCGTTCTGTGCCCGCCCGTCATGGAGGAAATGTCGAAGCTCGCGTACCACTGACCAGCGAATGTCAACGCGAAACGTCACGGTGGTTGTCGCGAAATGTTGCGATGGTCATCGCGACACGTCACTGATGGTCGTCAACTCATGTCATCGCGGAACGTCATCGGCATTCAACCGTCTCTCGCTGCCGCTGCGGCTGCTTCTCGCGACCGCTTTCCATCGGCTCAGGGGCTTGGTGTGCATGCGCGATGACCTAAACGTGGGACATTTTGCAACAAGACGGCCCCTGGATTTGAACGAGTTCCGCTTGGACCAATCCTTCTGCCACGCTTCATCCCAGCCATCTTTTCTTTTCGGATGGGACAGATGACGTTTTCGGATTTCTTTGGGAAGGGACGTCGCGTCGGGAGTGAGTGGAACGGTGCGGAAGCCTCGAGATTAGACGAATCTGCGTTGTCGGGAACCCGCTCAAGCAGGGTTTTGCATTGCACATACGTAGGCAACTTTAGCACCGTAATTTTAGTCATCTATTCGTTATTTTTTCTTCTCCTATTGGGCCTGCGCGACACTCCTAAGACTAGGTTCGAGTTTGATCTGAACGTAACACGCAGAGAATCCAATCCGAGAAACAGCGGTGGAACAGCTACTGATTTGAATCAAATGAGTGGAGGTGGTTGGATGACGTAAACGTGCTGGTAAATCTAGGAGGCCGACAAATCGCGTACTGTGGTGTACATTCGAATAAAGTGGATATAGTTCAAATTTATTATGGTACGATGCCCAATTCAATATTGGAGATTGCAAATCACAAGACCAAAATGTACAATAATAAAATGCATCTTCATAACTCTTGATGTCAATCTCTGGTGCACTGCAGGTGCTGGCAAGCTAACCCTCTGATGAACTATCCAGCCTACCCCCTAAGTATGTCCAGTCACCTTGTCGAACCCGACCGCCAACTTATTTGAGATTTCTCTCACGGTGCAACTATCTGCCACTGTTCAACAGGGCAAGTCGAGTTGAGCGGCGGTGGCGGCCTTTCAAGACGTCTCGAAAGTTGTTCCTGGCATTATGTGACCAGCTCTCACAGTGCATGAAGCTGCCTCCCAGCCCAGCCCAGTGTTAGAGAAAGAAGTTGACTTGTGTGGAGGAGATCCGGTAAGGGGCCCAGGCTCAAGGCTCTGGAGCCATTTCTGAGTGAAAAGGGGAGGTTGAAATGGGGATTGGGAAGGGGGGGAGTGAAAGGAGGAGTCGGAAGGAGGGAAATGAAAAGGGGAGGTGAAAGAGGGAGTTGAAAGGGGAGGTTGAAAGTAATGACCAACGCCCTATTTCCCCCGAAACCTGTAACCACTAACCCCATACCTCCACAAGCCACCGATCGCCAGATGGCAATGGCGGAGCGCTGCCACACCTCCACTCCACTAACTACCAGAGGCCTAACCCATCTCTTCACCACTAGCACCATATTCTCCGAACCCCACAGTACGCCCCTCCTCCATTGAACCCTCCCCCCACCAGCCCCAGCCCCAGCAGCAAACCATACCTCCACATGCCGGATCGTCAGATGGCTGAGAAAGACTGCTGCCACACCGCACTAACCACTACAGCCCTCCCTTCTGAGAATTCTCAAAAGTGATTTTCAAACCATACCTCCACATGCCGGATCGTCAGATGGCTGAGAAAGACCACTGCCACACCGCACTAACCACTACAGCCCTCTCTACCCCCATCAGCACCTCTCCTTGCCCCCAGCACTAGCACCTTACCCATTCACCAGTCCCAGCAGCGTACCTCCGTAAGCCACGGATGGCCAGATGGCCGAGGCAGAGAGTTGCCATACCTCACACAAAGCACTATAGCACTATCCCCTCAAAACTCTTAACCACTAGAGACTCAATCTTGCCCAAAACACTTATCCACTAGACCATTGTACCCACCCAAGCCCCTTAACCACCGCCCAAGCCCCTTAATCAACGCCCAAAACCCTTAACCACCGCCCAAAACCCTTAACCACCGCCCAAAACCCTTAACCACCGCCCAAAACCCTTAACCACCGCCCAAGCCCCTTAACCACCGCCCAAAACCCTTAACCACCGCCCAAGCCCCTTAACCACCGCCCAAGCCCCTTAACCACCGCCCAAAACCCTGAACTAACCACCAGGGCATTAAAACCCGCCCAAACCCCTTAACCACTAGGGCATTAAAACCTGCCCAAACCCCTTAACCACTAGGGCAAAAAAACCCGCCCAAACCAATTAACCACCAGCCCCATACCTCCACACGCCACGGAGCGCCAGATGGCCGAGGCAGAGCGCTGCCACACCTCCATCAGCTCCTCCTCCGTCTGATGGGGGCAGGGAAGGACAGAGCAGGGCAGCACAGCGCAGCACAGGGACGCAAAGAGAACTACAATGAATCAAATCTCAAGGTGCAGTTTTGAGAATTCTTGAAGGTGTCGTTTGAATCGAATAAAGATGCAGGTGAATTGGAGTCGGTTGCAGCACTGTTGGTCGGCAGACGAGGAACCATCCATCCCCACTTGACGAGGCTTTGACGAGGCCGATTCCGTACCCATCATCACCACACTTCACCCCTGCTCACCTCGCATTGCTCCTGCAGCTGCTCCCTCTTGGGCATGGCCCAGCCCCACAGCCTCAATGCCACCTGCACTGCCCTCCGACTCCTCATATGCTGGTGCACCCACATCCCATCCCACCCTTCTCAACACATGCTCAGTGTCCACCCCATTACACCCCACCCCATCCCACCGCACTCCACTCTTCCTCACCTCGCACTGCTCCTGCAGCTGCTCCCTCTTGGGCATGGCCCAGCCCCACAGCCTCAATGCCACCTGCACTGCCCTCCGATTCCTCATATGCTGGTGCACCCACATCCCATCCCACCCCTCTCAACACATGCTCAGTGTCCACCCCATTACACCCCACCCCATCCCACCGCACTCCACTCTTCCTCACCTCGCACTGCTCCTGCAGCTGCTCCCTCTTGGGCATGGCCCAGCCCCACAGCCTCAATGCCACCTGCACTGCCCTCCGATTCCTCATATGCTGGTGCACCCACATCCCATCCCACCCCTCTCAACACATGCTCAGTGTCCACCCCATTACACCCCACCCCATCCCACCGCACTCCACTCCTCCTCACCTCGCACTGCTCCTGCAGCTGCTCCCTCTTAGGCATGGCCCAGCTCCAAAGCCTCAGAGCCACCTGCACCGCCCTGCTCTGCTGCTGAGGTGAGGGTTCACCACCTGTGATGCAGAGTGGGAGGGAGAGGGGAAGAAGTGAGGAAGGGGAGGGGAAGGGCGACACCACCCGTGCAGCAATGCCACCTGCCCCGCCCCGCTCTGCTGCTGGGGGATTGGCTCGCCACCTGTCAGAGTGGTGGTGGGTGGGAGGGGAGCGAGGGGGAAAGAGGGGGTTTGTTGGGTGAGAGGGCGTGTGGGAGGGGAAGCTCAGCAGTGGCACCGGCACCGCCCTGCTCTGCTGCTAGGAGGAGGTTGGCTCGCCGCCTGTCAGTGGAGTGGAGGTGGGTAAGGAGCAGGGGAAGAAGTGAAGGGGGGGGAGAAGTGAAGGGGGTGGGATGGGCACACACCCGTGCAGTGCAGCAGCTCTGCTCCCCGCCTGCTCTGCTGCTGGGGTGTGGGCTCCCCGCCAGCAAGTGAGGTGGTGAGCGGGAGAGGAGTGAGGGGAAGTGAGGGAGGGAGATGGGGGAGAGGACGTGAGGGAGGGGGGTCGGGAAGAGGAGTCGAGGGAGGAGGGGGAAGGAGGAGAGGAAGTGTGAGGGGGGGGAGGGAAGATGAAGCGAGGGAGGAGGGAGAAAGGGGAGAAAAGGCGAGGGCAGGGAGGGAGGGGGGAGAAAGGGGAGAAAAGGTGAGAGCAGGGAGGGAGGGGGGAGAGGAAGCGAGGGACGAGAGCAAGCCTTGCCCATTGCCTTGCCCATTGCCTTGCCCATTGCACCAACTACAAGACACGAACGAGACTCACATTCTTCTATCAGTGACAGCAGCTTGGCGACAAACCCCGCCACCCCTCCGCCGCCCTGCACGGGCCACCAGTTGCCGGTCGGCAGCGCCATCCGGGCGGCAACGGCCAGCGAGACGTCGATCCATTCGTCATCTTCTGGGTCCAGGACGTCCAGCAGCGACTGGGCGGCGTCGTCTCCGGGCGGCAGGTCCTGTAGCAGGCCGGCCAGGCCCCAGTCAAAGACAGATGAGACGGTGGCGCTGCTGCACGTGCCGTCCTCCTCCAGTTCCTGTAGTGTAAGGGAGTGGGGAGAAAGAAGAGTGGGGGCAGAGGGGGAGTGTGGGGTTGGGTGGTAAGTGGTTTGAGTCAACTCATAGCCAGGCCCCAGTCAAAGACAGACGAGACGGTGGTGCTGCTGCACGTGCCATCTTCTTCCAGTTCCTGAGGCATAAGGGGGCGGCGGAGGAGGGGAGGATGGGGAGGGGAAGAGCAGGGCGAAGCGGGAGGAATAGCTAGATGAGAGAACGCTGCTAGACAAAAGGGGGAAGGGGGGGGGGAGGGGGGGGGAAGGGGTGGGGGGTCTGGGAAATGGGAGAGGGAGGGAGTGAGATGGGAGAGGGAGGGTGGGTTGGGGTGCGAGGGTGAGAGAGGCGAGAGGGACGGGGTTGAGAAGGGAGAGGGAGTGTGAGTGAGAGACGGGAGGCAGAGATTAAACACCCATCCCACTTACCCCACCCCGCCCCATACAGCCCCACCCATCCATCCCCCATACTGAACCCATCCATCCGAATCCCACCCACCATGCCCCAACCATCCATCCCCCCTATAAGCAGCCTCACATCGTAGTTGAACCAGATGGAGAGGCTCTGCATGGCACCACCAATCTATCCCAGCTCATCGCCCACACAGGCAATAACCCAACCCTCCCTCACCTCACCCATCCATCCCCGTTACAAGCAGCCTCACATCGTAGTTGAACCAGATGGAGAGGCTCTGCATGGCACCACCAATCCATCCCAGCTCATCGCCCACACAGGCAATAACCCAACCCTCCCGCACCTCACCCATCCATCCCCGTTACAAGCAGCCTCACATCGTAGTTGAACCAGATGGAGAGGCTCTGCATGGCGCGCAGCAGGCGGGGCAGGTCGTACTGGCGCTCCACGAGGCGCCCCACGCGCACCCACATGGGCCACCCCACCTGCACCCCCGGATCGTCCATTCCCTCTATCTTGTGCACTGCCCTCTCCTCCATGTCCTCCACTTCCCCCTCGCCCAACCACTTGGTGAGCAGCACCTGCAGTGCAGGCGCGTACAGGCAGGGGAACAGGGAACAGGCACGGACGGGGAGAGGAACAGGAGCAGGTGAGAGTCATCATCATGCCACCAGCAGCAGCAGCAGCAGCAGCAGCAGCAGCAGCAGCAGCAGCAGCAGCAGGAGGCGGGGCAGGTCGTACTGGCGCTCCACGAGGCGCCCCACGCGCACCCACATGGGCCACCCCACCTGCACCCCCGGGTCGTCCATTCCCTCAATCTTGTGAACTGCCCTCTCCTCCATCTCCCCCACCTCGCCCTCGCCCAGCCACTTGGTGAGCAGCACCTGCAGGCGCGCACGGGAGCGGGAGAGGAACGGGAGAAGGGGAGACGTGTCAAAGCACGCAGGGAGAGAAGGGTCAGACGGGGGTGGGAATCTTCCATGGTGTACCTCGACTATTGATCCTGAGGAAGTTGAGCAGCAGCTCGTACGCCCACGCGTGCTGCCACGCCTTCCCAACCACCCACCCCCAGCACCAGCCCTAGCCCCACATCACACCACATCCCATCCATCACATCACACACCTGAGCGCAGAGATTCAGCTCTCTTTCCTCCATCGGCGCTCCTCGGCTATTGATCCTGAGGAAGTTGAGCAGCAGCTCATACGCCCACGCGTGCTGCCTCCGCATCACCTCGCTCCTTAACATGGCATCCACAAACTCCGCCACATACGAGTTCTGCTGAGGGCACACCATGCGATCTAGCCCCCCACACCACACCACACCCATCTACAACTACCCACCCACAGCCACAGCTACCCACCTGAGCGCAGAGGTTGAGTTCCCTCTCCTCCATGGGCGCTCCTCGGCTGTTGATCCTCAAGAAGTTGAGCAGCAGCTCGTACGCCCACGCGTGCTGCCTCCGCATCACCTCGCTCCTCAGCATGGCATCCACAAACTCCGCCACATACGAGTTCTGCTGAGGGCACACCATGCGATCTAGCCCCCCACACCACACCACACCCATCTACAACTACCCACCCACAGCCACAGCTACCCACCTGAGCGCAGAGGTTGAGTTCCCTCTCCTCCATGGGCGCTCCTCGGCTGTTGATCCTCAAGAAGTTGAGCAGCAGCTCGTACGCCCACGCGTGCTGCCTCCGCATCACCTCGCTCCTCAGCATGGCATCCACAAACTCCGCCACATACGAGTTCTGCTGAGGGCACACCATGCGATCTAGCCCCCCACACCACACCACACCCATCTACAACTACCCACCCACAGCCACAGCTACCCACCTGAGCGCAGAGGTTGAGTTCCCTCTCCTCCATGGGCGCTCCTCGGCTGTTGATCCTCAAGAAGTTGAGCAGCAGCTCGTACGCCCACGCGTGCTGCCTCCGCATCACCTCGCTCCTCAGCATGGCATCCACAAACTCCGCCACATACGAGTTCTGCTGAGAGGTGCGCGGAGTCAGGAACACCGCACTCGACTGCTTGCTATTGCTACCCGTGCCACTGCCCGTGATTTGCCCCACTCCCCCTCCTCCCATCGCCCCACTCATTCCCCCACCTAAACCTCCTGCTCCCATCGACCCGCCCAGGCCCGTGCCGGCAGCTCCCCCCCCATCCCCTGCACCACCACCACTACCAGCTCTTGGGCTCCCACGTGGGGTGGTGAAGAAACCTCCAGCCCACCCCCTCGCCCCTCCTCCTGCTGCTGCAGCATTAGCAGCAGCGGCAGCAGCAGCAGAAGGGGAAGTAAGGGCGTCACTCCCACTGATGCCTCTCCCTCCGCCCAGCCACAACGTGGGAATGTCGCTCCTGCCCCGGGTGTGCCCTGGCTTGGATCTACCTGTGCCAGATAACGCCTCCCCGTCCTCCCGCCCCTCCTCTGCTGCTCCCCCTTCGCTCAGCCACGCTCCCACCTCCCCTTCGCTCCCTCCCCGCCTCCTCCCCTCCCGTATTAGCAGTTCGACACCACTACCACCAGCACTGGAAGCAGGAGCATCAGTATGACTGCCGGCACCTGAAGAACCACCTGAAGCATCACCTGAAGGACCACCTGAGGCACCACCTGAAGAACCACCTGAAGCACCACCTGAGCCAGCACCAGCCCCAGGAGCACTTGCTCTGCTGCCAGCCGACAACAACCCACCCACCGACCCCGCCGCCGAGCCTTTTCCCGAACCTGCTGCCGCGGCTGCAGCTCCGGAACTAGCCTGGGAGGCAAGAGCAGAACCCCAGCTAGAGGCAACAGCAAAGGCAGCAGCAGCCCAGCCAGGAGCAGCGGCGGAGAGGGATGGGGAGGGGGAGGCCGAGGGAGCAGTGGAAGCAGAGAGAGCAGGAGAGGAAGTGGAAGAGGGGGATAGAGGATCGGAGGCGGCAGCTTTGGCTGCTGCTGCTGCTGCTGCTCTAGGGGAGGTAATATTTGGATCCGCTTTGGCGGCAGCATCTGAGCCTGTCCCCCCACCTCTACTACTGCTTGCTCCTGCGCTCCTCCCCCCTTGCATTGCCCCCCCAGTGCTCCTCCCCCCTGTATTAGGAGAGGAGAGGGGCGACTGGTGTGGCCCCTCTCCCGAACCAGGCCCCCCCGACCCCCAGAACTGAGCCGTTTTCACCGCAGCAGCCAGCCGAGCAAACCGCATTGTAACCGACTCAACCCCTCTGCCTGTAAACACCATTCCAATCACCCGATCGAACCCAGCAGCCTTCAGCCTCCCACTGGAAACCGCCCTCAGTGCAGCGTGAAACGCCGCCTCGTCTAACCCTAATTCCTGGGCTAGACTCGCAATTGCCATGCTGTCATCCGGGTGTATATGCTCAAGTTCCCTCATGGTCGCCGCCAGGGTCATTCCCAGCAGGCCCGGGCCGAGGCTGAGCTGCAGGTACAGCCGATCCTGCTCCTCGCACCGTTCCTCCAGGCTCGAGTGTGTGGCAGCTGCAAGCCCTTCTGCTAGTGCTACCTCCGCCATAGCTGCTAGAGACATGGGTTCCCAGACCTGGGGTCTACGCGGGGTGTGGGTGGAGGAGAGTGGGGAGTGGGAGAGTGGGGAGTGGGTGAGTGGGGAGTGGGAACGGGAGCGGGAGGGAGGGCGGTTGGGATGAGCTGGAGAGCGGTTGGAAGGGGTTGGGACTGGTGAGGTTCCTGGGATGCGGGCGGGAGGAGCGGAAGCAGCAGCACCAGAAGTAGCCACGCCAGCAGCCAGACTCGGCATGGTCCATCCCCTTCTCTGCTGCTCCTTATTCAGAGCTCTCCCACCCCTCCTCCCTCCTCGCCTCTCCATCCCTTCCTCCTCCTCCCCGCCTTCCCTCCCCTCCTCCTCACCCTCACCCTCCTCCTCCTCCTCCTCCTCCTCTGCCCCTTCCTCACCCTCCTCCAGCCGCCCCTCCCCCTCCCCTCCTTGCCAAATCATCAGCCGCTGCACAGCAGGTGTAGATGCCGCTACAGCCGCAGCGGACCGCTCGCTACAGGCGGTCAGGACGGCAGACAGGCAGGAAACTACAAACGCCCGGCAGGCCGGCAGATGCGCGCCCAGTAAAGGCGCCCATGACCTGCTGCCCCCACTGATGCTGCTGCTGCTGCTCCTGCTGGTAGTGGTGGTGGTGGTGATGGTGCCGTTGCTGCTGCTGATCGCGCTCGCAGGCTCGGAAGCCTCCGAGCCTCTGCCGGACGTGGCGCCGAAGCTCGAGCTGGGGGGTCGGTGCGAGGGGTGCAGAGCGGTGGACTTGTGAGAAAGAGGTTCGTCTGCTTCTGGGTTGAACTGGAGAAGCATCATCTGCTGCTGCTGCATTAACTGCATACTGGGCGTGCGGTTGTGACCTATAGGTGCAAAGGAGCGCGACACAGGCCCAGCAGCACGAGGTGAGCCCCTCACACTCCCCACTCCTCCCCCTGCTGCACCTGCACTCCCTCCCCTAACCGAACCTAACCTCTGATAACCCCCACTACCAGCAGCAGCGGCACCAGCAGCAGCAGAAGCACCACCACCACCACCGGCAACACCGGCAGCACTGGCAGCAACAGCTGCTACAGCTGCTGCTACAGCCTGCTCCCGCTCCAGCTGTAGCTCGAAGAAGGCGATGCGGTCGAGCAGGCGGAGGAGGATGAGGGCGGCTGTAGCGGGGCGCCACACACTCACCGCTGCAGCGAGGCCGACAAAAACGAGGATGTTGTCGTGGTGGCAGCGCGAGGCCAGGAACTGGTCCGTGTAACCTCTATCTGCTGCTGCTGCTGCTGGGGCTAGGGCTGCAAAACGTTCGGCGAAATCAACACTACCTGCATCAGCACCCGCATCGGCAGCATCACCAGCACTGGCAGAGACGGCAGCAGCAGCAGCAGCAGGGACAGACGAGAGAGCAGAGACAGAAGGTACAACACGCAGGTCAGAGCAGAGAGCCATGTTAACCAGCTGCTCCTGAATGCTTCCCTCTGGATCCCACACAAACACACGCACCGCCGCCGCTGCTGCAGGTGCTGCCAACACAGGCCGCCCCTCTGCCCCCCTCCCCGCCCCCTCCTCCCCGCCTCTGCTTCTGCCCGCCCCTCGCCCCCTCCCATCGCCTGCATAAGCCATGCGCCCACTGCCCCCCTCCACTGCTGCTGTTGTCAGCGCCTTCCCATACGCCCCCTCCTGCTCCTCCTCCTCGTCCCCCTCACGATCCCCCGCCCCTCTGCCCCTACTACCACCGCCATAGGCACCGGCAGCAACAACTGCACCAGCTTCCATGCTGAGCCACCGTTGGGGCCGGGAAGCAGGCCCTGCCAACTCACCACCGCTCTTTCCCCCATTCCCCTTCCCTTCCTCCCTCCCACTTAACATTACGCCGCTCCCCACCTCATCCCCGCCACCCGTCTCCTCCCGTCTCCCAGACCCCGGCCCCACCCCTGCCAGGATCTGAGTCGACTCAAAAGCAGACCCGGGCGCCACTCCTGCCAGCATCCCAGCAGCTTCAGCCAGATCGTCTTGAATGCGTGCGAATCCCAGCCCTGCTAGGTCTGCTATATCAGGGGCAGTAGTGGAGGAGATGGTAGAGGAGAGGCGCAGCAGCCCCCCTCCCTCCCTCATGCTCCCCCCCTCGCGGAGGCTGCTCCCTCTGCTGTTCACTCGGGCCGTTGTGAGACCGCCGCGGCTGCTAGTACGGCTGAAGGTTCGGTTGATGCTGCTGGTTCGGTTGATGCTGTTGGTTCGGTTGACGCTGTTGGTTCGGCTCACTCGCCCGAAGCTGTCTCGACGAGCCCAAGGTTCGGGCGAGCCTATCCCAGTCCTATCCTCATCAACCCAACCCAGCGACCTCTGCCTTCCTATACTTCCCCCTCCCCCTTCTCCCCCTCCTCCTCCCCCTCCCCCTCCCCTCCCTTCTCTACTCAACCAAGCACCGGAAGGGATTCTTTCCATATGCTCCTCCCCATCCCCCTCCCCCTCCTCCCCTTCCTCTCCTTCCTCTCCTTCCTCCAGCAGAACCTCCCCCTCATCCTCATCCTCCTCCTCCTCGGCCCAATCCGGAGGCCCATCCCCCCACTGCTCCCAGAACCTCAGCCACACGGCCAGTGCTACAGTAAACGCCTCGCTGACGTGGCGCTCTTTCAGCCTATCAGAGAGCTCCGTTGCGGTTCGGAATTTCTCGCAGATCCACTCAAAGTCCCGGTGTGCCGCAGCTGACGACGAGGCTCGGACCATCGACCCGAGCCTACCGCTGCTGCTGCCGAGCCTGCCGCTGCTGCCACCAAAGCTATCTGGCCGCATCCGAGCCAAACTAAACCCACCTTCCCTATACACCTCCTCTCGCCCCTCTCCCCCTTCGTCACCCTTCTTATACCCTTTATACACATCCTCAGTCACCCGCTCATCCTGACCCCCTTCCCACCGCCCCTCCTCCTCATGCCCCCACCCAACACCACCACCACCACCACCCTCCCCACCCACACATCCATCCCCAGCCGTCCGATTCACCATCAGATCCGCCTCATCGTCCACAGTCTCATCTCCAGCCGTCCGTTTGAGCATGAGATCGAGCAGATCCATGAAGAGCAGCGTCCAGTGCTCCCTGCACCGCTGGGCCCTCACCCTAGCCGCCCCTATCGGCCCAAACTCCCGGCTACCCTGCCAGTAGCCGCTGCTCCCCGCTGCACCCCCTGTTAGAACAGCACCCGGGCCACCCCCAGCAGCACCACCAGCAGCCCCATGCTCCCAGTACGGCCCATCTCTAACACCCGCACAACCACCAGCGCCGCCGCCGCCGCCGCCGCCACCGTTGCCGCCGCTGCTGCTGCTGCTGGTGCCGGTGAAGCCGAAGGGTGTGGGGGGGGCAGAGCGCTGGGAGGAGCCTGAGAAGCCTGAGAAACCCGAGGGGCCGGAGGGGCCTGGGGAGTCTGAGGGGGCTGAGAGGAGGAGCGGGCGGAACTGGAAACCAGAGCTGGTGGGGCGAGCGGTGGGCTGCTGAAGCGCATTGAGAGGTGGCAGCGCGGGATCACGTTGAGGGGCTTGGGCTTGGAGGGCGGGATTTAGATTGTCGTCGCGGCTGCCTTTCATGGGTTGGTGGCCCTGCTCACCCTGCTCCCGCTCCTCGCCCTGCTCCTCCTCCTCGCCTTGCTTTTGAGGCGCCTCACTAGTCTGCTCCTCCGCGCCACTGTGAGCACCGCTCTGCTCCTGCTCGCCCCTCACTCGGATCCTCTTGCCTCTGAACACAAGCTGCGAACCCACCCCCTCCTCCTTCCTTCCCTTCCCCTCCTCCTCCTCCTCCTCCTCCTCCTCCCCTTCCACCTCTGGCCTCCCATGCAACGTGATTCCTTCTCCTCTCCGTTCCTCCTCCCCCACCCCTCCTTCGCCCTGCTCTTCCCTTCTCTCCTCCTCCCCCCTTCGTTTCTCCTCCTTTCCCTCGCCACCTTCAAGAGGCAAATCTTGCGTGGGCCCAGACAGAGGCCCTGGGGCGGTAGAGAGAGGTTCTGAGCGGTCAGAATGGGGTGCTGCGGGGATAGATAGGGTGGGGAGCGGGGAGAGGGGTCGCACTGGGACGCGCACTGTAAGCAGAGGGCTTGAAAAGTCAAACTCGTCCGTGCCGCTGCTGACCTGTCCGCTGCTGACCTGTCCGCTGCTGACCTGTCCGCTGCTGACATGGCCTTTGCTGACCTGTGCACTGTTGACCTGCGCTGACCCTGTTGACCTTGGCGACCCTGCTAACTCTGCTGGCCCGACTGGATCTGCAAAACCCCGAGGCAAACCAGGCATAGCAGCAGCAGCAGCAGCACCCTTTTCGGCCGTCTCAAAAGCCTTGCCCAGATCTACCAGGGTAAGATCTCGAGGCAAACCGGGCATGCCAGCAGCAGCAGCAGCAGCAGCAGCAGCAGCAGCAGCACCCTGTTGAGACGTCTCAGGAGAATTGCCCAAATCCGCCATGGTGAAATCCCGAGGCAAACCGGGCAGGGCAGCAGCAGGAGGTGAAGTACCCTCTGTGAGATTTCCAAGCCGTCCAGCTTCCTCTCCTCCACCTTCAGTGGTGGCTGCCTCTGCTGCTCCCTCTCCCTCTGCTGCTCCCTCTCCCTCTGCTACACTCTCCTCCTTTGCCCCCCCCACTTTTGCTTTCTCTCTCCTTTTTCCTCTCTCTTTCTCTCTCTTCTTCTCCCACCCTTTCACGACACCTAGCTTAGTCCACTCTATCACACCTTCCGATGATTCTGCCTCTCCATCCCTCTCCTCTCCATCCCTCTCCTCCTCACCCTTATCCTCTTGAATCCTATCCTGTTCGATTCTGCCCTCTTCAATCATACCCTCTTCTTTCCCTCTTTTCTCCTCTTCCATTCTCTCCACTTCCTCCCTCTTCTCCTTCCCCTTTGCATCCTTCCCCTTCCCGTCCCTCCTCCCCTCCCTCTTCTCCCCTTCCTTCCTCCCTTCCTTCCTCCCATCTTTCTTTCTCCTAGAAGACACCTCACCGCCTCCCTCCTCCTCCCTCCCTCCAGCAACCCCATTCCGCCTGCTACTGCTCTTCCCCAACCGTCTCCCATCACTACTGCTTGGGCTCACAATCTGCCCCGTGCCCCTGCTACTGCTCTTCCCTATCCTCCTCCCACCACTGTCGCTTGGGCTCACAATCTGGCCCGTTCCCCTACTGCCGCCCTCCCTCCTGCTACCACCAACCTCCCTCCTACTACTGCCAAGCTCCCGCCCACTAGAGCCACCCTCCTTCCTCCAGCTACTGCTAGGGCTTTCCATAGGGCTGATGCTGCCACAAGTCCCTGTATCGAAGCTTGTACTCGCATTGCTCTCTGTCCTCGTTACAGAGCTCTCTGTCCTCGTTATAGAGCTTGCTGCGTTACTGTCAGTCCTCTCTACAGACCTTGATGCGTTGCTGCTAGGGCTTATAGCAGCAGCAGCATCACCACTGGTGCTCTTCCTTCCCTTGTGCTTCTTTTCAGTCTTTTCTGTCTTCTCTCTCTGCTCTCTCCTCTCTGTCTTGACCTTAACCACACTCTGCTCACCCTTCATGCTCCTGCTCTTCCTTAGAGCTTTGCTGCTGCTTCTCATGCTATCACTTCTCATACTATCACTTCTCATGCTATCCCGTCTCATAGTATCACTTCTCATAGTGTCAGTTCTTAGAATATCGTCACCTCTCATAGTATCACTTCTCATACTGTCACTTATCACACTGCCGCTCCCCACACTATCACTTCTACCACTTAATACACGCACCGCCGCACTCCTGTCCCCGTCCCTCTCCGTTTCCCCTCCCACCAATCTCCCCTCTCCCTCCCTCACTCCCCCCACTTGCTGTCCTGCTCCTCCCTCGTCCCCTCGAATCCCTGCAGTCACAGCTTCCTTATCAACCCTCTTCTCTCCGTCTTCATCTCTCCTTTCTTTCCTCTCCTTCTCCCTCCTCTCCCTCCTCTCCCTCCTCTCTCTTCTCTCCCTACTCTTTTCATCCTCTTCCTCCTCCACAACCCCTTGCCTCTCGCTGCCTCCCTCTCTGCTTCCACTCGCGCTCCCCTCACACGCAGCCGACGACTTGTGAGGCGCCTCATAAGAAGTCCCTTCTCGTCCTCCACTAGCACTCCCCTCACAAGCAGCAGGCGCACGCTCTGCACAAATCCCCTCTTCCTCTTGCAGATTCCCCCCTTCAACTTGCAAGCTCCCCCCTCCCCCTTGCAAACTCCCAGCACCATGACTTTCCGCCCTTTCAGGCAAACTCTGATTCGCCTCGAGACACGCATTGGCAGCATCTACAGCAACCAACACTGCTCCCCCTGGTGGCCTTCGAACCTCTTCCCCCTCCCTAACCTTTTGGGTCAACTCACAAATCGCATCTGCATTGGCAGCATCTGCAAAAAGTAACACTGCTCCCCCTGGTGGCCTTCGAACCTCCTCCTCCCCAACCCCCGCACCTCCTGCCTTACCCTCCCTCACTCCAACCCCTCTCTCTCTAACCGCCCTCTCTCCAATCCCTCTCACGCCGATCCCACTCGCCCTTTCCCACTCTTCAAGCTCCAATCGCCCTTCCCACTCCGAATCCTCCCCCTCTCCATCCCCACCTCCCATGCCGCCACCCAAGCCACCACCACCACCAACACCACCATCACCGCCCCCTCTCCTCTCCCCTCCCCCACTCGCCAGCATCCTTTCAAAATCCAACGCTGCTAAACTCTTCCCTCTCATAGAACTTGATCCAGCCTGTCTTCTCTTAGCCTGCAGCAAGGGGCTGTTAGCACCCATTGCCCCACCCCCACCTGCTACAGCCGCTGCCGCCGCTGCAGCAGCTGCTGCCATCGCAGCACCGGCCGAACCTCCTCGGAAGGACCGGGAGTGCAAAACCGAGCCTCGGAGCCCCGAGCCTCCCCCTGCCGAACCTGCTCCTGCCGAACCTCCCGAGGCTCCGAGCCCAAAATCGTCTCCTGCTGCAGCAGCAGCTTCCCTCCACCCCCCTTTGCTCCCTGGGACTCTGGGAACCCTCTTTACAGTCGCCATGGGATCGAGACTTGCACCTGCCCCATCAAAAAGTGACTTGGAATGATGGTGGTGCTGCTGCTGCTGCTGCTGCTGCTGCTGCTGCTGCTGCTGCTGCTGCTGCTGCTGCTGCTGCTGCTGCTGCTGCTGCTGCTGTTGTTGCTGTGTAACGGAAGGACCAAGGTGGAAGCGGGAGGAAGGAGGGGAGGCGTGTGAGGTGGTGGCGGGTGCCCAAGAGTGGGCGGCAGGGGGGAGATCAAATCCAGACTTTGACATGGGGATGTTTGGCGAGGGGTGGGACGGCATGGCTGCGAGGAGGCGAGATGGGGACATGGATGGTGACAACGATGCCGATGCTGACGCTGATGCCGATGCTGATGCCGATGCTGATGCTGAGGTTGGGAACGCCTTCGATTGGCCATGGGTATCTGGGGGGAGCGCATGCGGAGGTGAGGAAGCAGCAGCAGCAGCAACATCAGCAGCAACAGCAGCAGCGGCAGCAGGGCTGCCTGCGCTACTATCTGGTTTCACCTCCAGTCTCCCTTCTGACAGGGATGATGACCGAGAGGGGCGAGGAGGGCGGAGAGGTGATCGGGCAGGAGTCAGGGAAGGTGAGTGCCCAGGTGAAAACGCAGGAGTTGGCGAAGCCGGGTGCCCAGGTGAAAACGCAGACGACACGCCAGGAGATCTGCCAGGTGAAAAGCCACCCAGCTCAGCTCCTTCGCTCCCTCCTCTCCCCCGCATGTGCCCTGCTGTCGGCATGTCTGGGAACCGCCCTCCTGCAATACGCCCTGCCCCAGCTCGCACCTGCCCTTCCGCCCCTTCCGCCCCTCCCGCCCCTTCCACCCCTTCCGTCCCTTTCAAACCCACCTGCCCTTCCATTTCCATGCCTTCCTGTCCTTCCTTATCTCCCGTGATTACTCCCAGGCTCATGCGTGCCGAATCATTCGCCACTGCAAACTCGTTAGTGTCAGATGCGCTACTTGCAGCAGGGTGGCTGGAAAAGACATATCGAGAATGAGTGGAAAGAGCTGTGCTACAATCAGCAGTGTCTCCCTCAACTTCCTCTATGCTACACAGACTGCTCCTCACACTCCCACTGCCGCTCTTGCTCCTCCTCCTCTCACACACCATCCCCTCACCATGCCCCCCCCTTTCCTTCTCCCTCCCTCCCTCCCTTCCCCATACCTCCTCTCGGCCCCCCTCAGCCACACCCTCCCCATTTCGCTCCCCTCCGTGATTTCCCAAGCCCTGAATCGCATTTCCCCTTGCCTCACGCCCATCCCTCTCCCCGTTACCTCCCCCACTCTCTCCTTCCATCCCCTCTCCTCCCCTCTCGCCGTCGTCAACCCTCCCTGCGTCCTCTCCATCCCTTACTCGCTGCAGGGACCGCCTGATCGCAATGGCTTCCATCAACGAGCTCGGCTCGCGGATTTCATCGTCTAACGCCATGCCCTCGTCGCTGCCTTGGTCATCCTCGTTATCAGCCTCCGCGCTATTCGGATCTCCACCGCCAACAGCTCTTCCCTGCTCTTTCCTGTCTGCTTCGTCCTTGTTGCCTTGTCTTACTCCCCCCTTCCGCGGCGATTTCCCGGAGCTTTCCCCAGCTTCCCCGCTCCCCAGTTCCCCTTGCGCATCTTCCGCCCCTTCCTCCGCCGTCCCCCCTTCCCCTGCCCCCTTCATCCGCCTGCTCCGCAGGCGGTGAATGCGCTCCGCGCGCTCCGCCATGTCCTCGGGGTCCCAGTCACCCGCCACCATTCCGCTGTGCGGAAAGAAGCACGCGCGGAAGCTCCCCGCGCCCATCGTCGCTCGGCGTAACGAGCGCGCCTTGCTCTTACTCTTGCGCGCCCGCGTGGAAACCCCGCTCGCGGAACTCTCGCTGGCCGTTGCGCTGACGGCAGCGCCGCTATTCACGGCGCTGATTGCGGCGCTGCCAGCTGTCGAGCCGGCGTAACTGCTGGGGATGCTGCTGCTGCCGCTGCTGGCGACGCCGTCGCTGAAAAAAGCCGCGGGAAAAAAGGAGTGCACATGCTGACTGCTGCTGCTGCTGCTGTTGATGCTGTTGACTTCGCTAGATGCAGACCGGGAACTCGCAGACTTGCTAAAAAGCCACCGACGATCTTTCGGTCGGCCTTTATTCGCTGCTGCTGCTCCAGCAGCAGCAGCAGCGGCGTCGGCGGGCCCGTTATTAGCATCTACCGATACAGGAACGCTCGGAGTACCATCGCGAGAGCCTCTTAACGAGAGCATGAAGCGGCGGCTTCGTGATTTAGTTGGAGACGTTAGGCTCGCCGTACGGGGAACCGGACTTTGCGGACCAAATGAGGGTTTACTAACCATTAAGCTGCCGCTTCTAACGGGGATACTTGCGGAATGTTGGCCGGCGTTTACCGAGTACTCTGGAGACAGGCTTATATCGGAGCCCTGGTGAGAAATCTTCAAATCTGCCATCCTTGTTAGATGCACCTGCTTGTCTACTTTTACACCGCCTGTACCGACGCCGCTGCAGGCGCTTAGTAGTGCAATCTAGACTTCATCAATAGTCACAACCTAAACAGTACCAGCACCTAACTTGCTTGCTGGTCAACAAACAAATGAGTAGACCTAGCTGTTTGTAGCTGCATAGGCTTGTTGTATGGGTAAAACGCTGGATATGCGTTGGTTGGATTGGGGGAGACCACATGGTAAGCGAGGGAACGTCATAAAAAGGCAGGCAGGGAGATAATCGAGAGATACAGTGGGGTGACACGGCACAGCACCAGACATACAGACATATAGAACTGTATCAATGGACGCGCCAACATGGGGAGATGCTGCGGTGCGTTTTCCAAACGCAACAAATGTTCCCGAGGGACCTATTCCGCCGGCGATAGACTCTCGGGCTCATTCCAGCCTCGGTCGGAATGACCCTAGGTTCTGTCGCGAAGTTCGTGATGATCCCTACATTGCGTCGCGTTTCATTTGGTCCGTCATTCCAGATGAAACCAGGGTTCGCTATGCTTTACAAATTTCGAAGGACGGGGGTGTGGTGTGTCAGCGCTGTTTCACATGGCCTGCTAATAACGGATGAACAGTATTATTTTTGCAATACAAAATACGCCTTACAAATCCCTTAATCAGTGAGCAAGTAGGTCAACCAGCGAATCTCCTGCGCAGCCATGGCACAGGCGTAGATCTCTGCCTCAGCGCTGGACGAATCCACAGACGACGACCGGGTAGACCTCCACGACACACCTCCAGAGCCCAAGCTGGTGCGGTAACAATGAGTAGACCTGCGGGTCTCCACGTCGTCGGCGTAGGACGGGTCGCAGTGGCCGGTCAGTACAACTTGCTGGGTCCCTCCAAGCACAAGCCACATGCCTGATCTAGTCGCCATGTACTTCGCTACCCTCGCAGCCGCCGCCCAGTGAACATGACGGTGTTGTAAGGAACCTTTTCCTTACCGGGGTTGACTGCTACGCGTACAACCCCGACATTCCGGACTTCGCACGTTCGGCCGACACCCACGATGCCGAGGCTCCCCCGCGTCGCCTTCGGCTTTCCATTCGCCAAACCTGCACCCAACCTCGTTTCCCCGAGGTTCCCTCCTAGCTAGGGTAGTCACTATATAATCGCGTGCCTTCATTGTATTGTTATTCGTTATTCCGCGCACTCTCTTCAACAACTCATAACACCTGGTATCAGAGCTACTTGTCAGAATGTTATGCTGTGTAGGCTGTAGTGGGGTACTCAACAGTGAGTACAACCCTGTTAGGGTTTCCTATTTGTATCCCACCTGCCTGCTAGTGCAACCCCCCTTCTTCTGTTTACATTCTCGTTTATTCTTCTGACATGCTATCAGAGCAGGTCGACCCTCCCTGGTCGATCCTGTGGATGGGCCCACCCTATTGCTTCCGCTGCTGTTCTGTTAGTCGCGCGCCCCGGGCGCGCGACATTTTTCAGCCCGCCGCGCGCCCCGTGGTGCGCGGCGGTTTTCTGCCCGCCGCGCGCCCCGGGGCGCGCGGCGGTTTTCTGCTCGGCGCGTCGCCCCGTGGAGCCAAGCGCGGCCCCCGTGCACCCGCGCGCCGCCCCCGTGGACCCGCGCGCCGCCCCGTCGACCAGCGCGCCGCCCCCGGGGACCCACGCGCCGCCCCCGTCGACCAGCGCGCCGCCCCCGGGGACCCGCGCGCCGCCCCCGTCGACCCGCGCGCCGCCCCGTCGACCAGCGCGCCGCCCCCGGGGACCCGCGCGCCGCCCCGTGGGACCCGCACGCCGCCCTGTGGGACCCGCGCGCCGCCCCCGTCGACCCGCGCGCCGCCCCCGGGGACCCGCGCGCCGCCCCGTGGGACCCGCGCGCCGCCCCCCGTGGACCAGCGCGCCGTCCCCGTGCCCCCCGACGCGCCGCCCTTGCCCTCGTGCGCCTCGGGGCCGCTGTGGGTGCCCTGTGGCTTCTTCCCCGCCCCCCCTTTCTCCTTCCTCTCCCTCCTACGCGTGCAGCTGTGGGGGGAGGGCATTGGGGTGGCGAATATGGGGGTGACGGGAGTGCGTACGCAGCTGCTCCTCCTCCTCCTTTCTCTCCCATTGCTGCAGCTGCCGCTGAGGGGGGGATGGTGTGGGAGCTGAGGGAGTGGTGCTAGGGTTGCAGAGGGGGATGTGAAAAGGGGGTTTGGGGCAATGGGGGGAGGTTGAACGGAGGTAGCCGACGTGAAGCCAGCAGCGCCAGTAGTCCGGATGCCCTTGCTCCGGTAGCACGTGAGCCCGTCGCTCCAGTCGCCAGTGGGTCAGTTGCTCCAGCCGCTCGTCTAGCTGCGGAGCCAGTTACTCCAGCAGTCCGGATGCCCTTGCTCCGGTAGCCAGTGTGCCAGTTGCTCCAGTTGCCCGAGTGCCAGCAGCTTCAGCCGCCGCCTCCTATCTCCTCTCCTCTCATAGTCCCTCCTCCTCCTCACTTGCCCTCTGTTTCTGCCACTAGCGTTTGCTTATGCACTTGTCCTGCGATTGCTTGTTGTGTTGACTATACCCCACTTTGCCTATGGGGGTGTGTCAGAATGTTATGCTGTGTAGGCTGTAGTGGGGTACTCAACAGTGAGTACAACCCTGTTAGGGTTTCCTATTTGTATCCCACCTTCCTGCTAGTGCAACCCCCCTTCTTCTGTTTACATTCTTGTTTATTCTTCTGACACTACTTTCCTAGTTCACCCCGCTTTTCACGGGTTGGCTGGTACAGTGGACTGCAAAACGGTTGGTTGCAAGGTTCGTTAATTCTAACCTGCCCAACTCCGATAGTTTTTGCTTTCCACTCGCCTGAAGGCCACGGATACCCCTCTGCCCACCAGACGAAGCGTGCGACTCATGGACCAGGAGACATTGAACAGGATGCTGGCGCAAATGGCAGAGCTACAGGCAACGGTGAAGAATTTATTGGCAGAAGTGACAACTCTACGTGAGGAAAACACCGAGCTACGCCAGACGCGAGGTGAAGCGTGTCAGGAGTCGTCCGATGAAGAAGGCCAGGGCAACAGTCAAGCGGTGAGCAACCCGTTGGACGCGCTCACACGTGACTTCGAAGAAGAAGATAGACAGCGAGCGGCAGCGACGCCAATTGCAGTTACGCCGATCAAGATTAAACCTGCGAGCCCGCCCCCGTTCAACCCTACGGACAAGAATACTACAGTGAAGGGGTGGCTCTTCGGTGTTGAAGTCTTCTTCACTGCAGCGAACGTCAACGACGATGCCACACGTATTAATTACGCGGTCTCTCTTCTGCGAGGTGCAGCGCTTGAATGGTGGCGTCGAACCTTGGACACGGGGACCCCGACAGGTGTGACACATGCGGCAGACGGGACCTCGACATCGGCTAATCAAGTGGCAACATCGATCTTCGGCATGACCAAGATACGCACGTGGAAGGAGTGGGGCGCAGCCTTACGAGATCGCTTCGAGCACGTATCCGCCTCGGAGCAAGCTCGCATGAAGCTCCGTGCCTGGTCGCAGCTGGCTTCTATTCAAGACTACACTGCGTCATTCATGGCTCTCGCCGACCAAGTGGACGACATGGCGGAATGGGAGCGGTTGGACAAGTACGTCAGCTGCCTGAAATACGAGATACAGTACGAGGTCCGCCGACACCGCACGACCACGTTTATGGAAGCTGTACAGTTGGCAGAGTCCACGGATGCGCTGATGCAGTGGGCGAGGGTGGGTTCCCGGGAGGGAAACTGTTTCTGCGGCCAGACCCGGCGGGCCACAATCAACGGAGTCCATGCACCAGACCGCCCTTTTACAGAGTTGTGTTATAAGTGCGGGAAGCCGAGTCACATCATGAGAGACTGCCCCGAGAAAACGCCGGCAAAGAGAAACGACGGGAAGGAGCAGGGAAATGGGAAGAGTCAGTAATTACCGGACCCCTTACTGACTGTGCTCCGTCGCCCGAACACCAACATCCCCACCGAGTCGTCGTTCCGATTCATGCAATCGATCGCACTCGACCGAATAACGGGAATAACCATGTGGATCACCCAAAAAAAAAAAATCTGAAAATGTTCATCGATGGCGGGGCTAGCCATAGCCTCTTCAACTTGGCGACAGCAAAAAAATGCAAGCTGCAACTTGACAGGTGTCTGCCCGGAATCGACGCTCGCCTCGTGGATGGGACGCCTCTGCCGATACTGGAAGAAACACGGACGGTGTGGATCGAATGCGGCGAAGATTTCGGCTTCAGCATGAAGTTTCTCGCGACAACGCTGGACGGCTGCGACGTGCTGCTGGGACGTGATTGGCTGCGACGGCACAACCCCATCATCGATTGGACGACGGGATCGTGCAGC